CGTAAATATTTTCAATTAACGAGCCGTCTCCATACCCCGTCCGGTATGAGCGCCAAGTTATTAAACCTCAATACCCTATCCGGTATGAGGTTGAAACGAGTCGTCCCCATACCCCGTCTAGTATGAGTGCCAAATTATCAAGCCTTGATACCCCGTCTGGTATGAGGCAACGTTCACGGTAGGGTTTTCTATGCACCCAGTCCGTCCACCATCTCCTAGGAAATCCAGTAAGGCTGCCGTTTCATCATCACTTAATCACAGAGTTTTCCGTTTACCTTTAATCTCCAGTTTTTCAATTCAACCGTAATCACATAAAATAAACAATTACATGCATTCAAAACTATAAAATCGATCAATTAGATACTATCATGCATTTAAACTGTAAAATAAATTAATAGAATTAACAGTAAATAATTTCTGGTTCTAGCTCCATTAGTAACTCGTAATTAATTATGGATATTTTTTAAATTGTACCAAATACCTTATTATTATTAATTTGACTTCAATTCTATAATAGAGAATAGGGTGAGGGATTCTGACTCAAATTGATGTCTGAAATACTAAACTTGTTGACGCGCTACTGGCGGTTCCCAGATTCCTTAAATTTTTCTTCAGAAATTAAAACACGCTACAAGTACCTACAAATATTCCAAAAATCCTAAAATCAGTGTCAGGACCTCTTTTTGGCCAATTCTGAAATTTTAGCACAGCGGCTCCGTGGTGCTCTTGCGATGGCATCGCCACCTGCGGCAGCAGTTTGCCTCGGGTCGGCAATTTTTGACCGATTTTGTATTAATTCTTGTGAGAAAATACGTTAAAGGACCTCAGTTAGCCCAAAGAAAAATAATAAAAAATCGAAACTCACCAGTGACGGGGTTTTCTGGTGTGGCGGCTCCACCGACTCACATTTGCGGTTGAGTGTCTTGCTTTGGTCAACTTGTAGAGAAGGAAACTGTGATTACAATAGTGGAAGAATTACGCAGAATTGGAATCGGAAAGGGGCTCATCGGATGCGATTTTTGTAATTTCTCACGGCAGCACCACCGGGATTTACCTGTAGTTTCGGGCCAATCCATCGATTTTGTTGCTCTGATTTGGCCATATGGGTGTTTAAAATTGAATTCCGAGAAAAGAAGAATTTTTTTACCTCTTTTGGCAGTCGAAAGTGGCTCCGGCGCGGCAGTGGGTGGCGGCGGCTTCCCTTCTCGGCGGCTGGGTCTTCTTATCCGGCGAGGGTGTCTGGCGGTAAGGGTTAGGGTTTGGTGTGAATAGGGTTATTTATATTCATCATCTTTTAATTTGGGCCGTCCATCGTTTTTAATTTATACTGTTCGATTACAATTAAGTAGGAAGCAGATTTGAACCATTGATCGTGTTTAAATATGACTGTCCGATCGCGTATGGGGAGGAAACACATCCGGGCCGTCTGTGCGTGCGGAAGCAGATCTGGACCGTTCAATCGCGGACACACGGATCGCTCGCGTGGCATCGCGTCATCGTCCTTTGCCACACGGCGCGTTCTAATTCGTCGGGGCTACTGACTGGGCATCCTACGTGGGATAACTTTTTTTAAATTTATGTTTTGACCCACAGTTTCTGATTTTTCTTTCAAAAATACTCTCAAAATCTAAAATTTCATCTATTTTTCTCAAAATTATTTTTAATTTCATCATTTACCTATTTTTCTTTATTTTTACATTAAATTAAAATTCAAAAATTTAAAAAATTATATTTATAAATTAAAATTAATTTGAGTATTACACAGTTATTGATTGGAATTGAATCCAACCTTTTCCTATAGACTCCTCTAATATTACTTCTCACCAAGAAATTACTATAAGTGTTCTTATTAAATCTTTTGTAGGAAAAAAATAATTATCTTTCTATGGCTATTCATAGTTACAATCACCTAATTTCGAACCCTTATCTAAGGGTAGGATACTCACAAAGAAAACTTTTTTTTTTTTTTTCAAATAAAGTAAAACTAGGAAGAGTACCAAGATTATCGGAAAGTACATCCCTCAATATGAAAACACAAGATAATTGGAAGAGAAGCAACTAAAGATATCAGATACAAAGCGGAATAATCCATGCTGCATCAGAAAATCATAAGGCTTGGGTGTCTACCAGCACCCTATGATACTTGGAAAATTCAAATGCTTTCTATTGTTAAAATCTTTGAAGAATATATTATCATACTAGCTTTGGAAGAGATTTCAGAATGTTAGAACGAAAAATGAAGTGAAGAAAAGGATTACTGCTATAGCATATATAATCTCTTCGATTAAACAATGAATAGTTAGCAAGTTAATGAAATTATTGATCAGATTAAAGGTTTTAAACTCTGATTAGATAAATGTAGGTTATTAAATAATTACATATTAATGATTTTTGTACTTTTAATCATCAATCACCATCCAATAATTTCTACTTGGTCATATTCAAGCTAACAGACAATACTGACGGCAGGGACTCACATGCATCCCTAATTAGATTTGCTCTCTCCAATCATATATTTATTTTCACAATAATATATTAAAAATACCCACATTCACATGAAATAAAAATCTTCTATGTTCATTGGAATAAAAAAAATTAGAGGCTTATATATTTTTGAAATTATATTTCAACTTGAATAATGAAAATGATGGTTCTAGCAATCCATAACTCATAATATTTAATTTCTCATAATGAACAGAGAGTTTTTCTTTTTTTTTTTCCCAATGAGTTTATAAATTTTAGAATTTTCCTGCTCAAATTAAAATATACGAATTTAAGTTATAGTTTATGTAAATTACTTAAAATTTTTATGTTATTTTGTACAAATATATGTACGTACATTTACATCCTTGATTTCTCAGGACCTACTACACGTGATTTTATTCTTCAAAACTTTGGGATATACATAATATGACCACCTCTGATTGATGGAAACCTTATTTTTTTGCCTTCTGTAGTGAATTTCCAGTTTTCCAGTACAATTTTGATTTGTTCCATCTTTGGAAATTAAGGAACTTATTTATTTATATACACACATATATATGTATATCATTCTTTTGTCCACTTTCATTCACCACAAGATGAAAGAAAAAAACTGGAGGCAAAATTAATATTTGATATCAAGTTTGTGGTGTTGATGAATAATTTTTATGTCTATGAACATCGAAAAACTTTGAAATAGAAGAATCTACTGTTTGTAAGAAAGACAAAAAAGATGACAACTAAACACATTAATACATAAAAATCTAAAGGCTTATCTTTTTATGCATATTGCAATGCAGCTGGTTGTCAGTCATATCACCTCTTTACATATTGCTATATTTATAATTTTAAATAATTGTTTTATTTATTTATTTATTTATAAAAATAGCTGCTTGTAAAATTAAAGTCGATTTAATATTGTCTACGTGATATTTTCATGAATTAATTATTACTTACATTCTTTTGGGTTTGAAACATCTCTATCTTCCTAAATTTGGATGGATTTCTAGCTTGTATCTTCCTTGCCAAAAATAAAAATTGGACCAACACTTAAGATAGAAAACAAGTGCTCTTAATTAAAAAGGAATATATATATATATATATATTAAAATTTTAATAAAAATAAAATCAGAAATTAAAATATCAGCTTATAAATATAATTTGTGTTGTAGTATATGAATACTATCTTTAGTTCATGATTGCATTTTTTATCTTTACATTTTATTAATTTATTATTTTTAAATAAAATACGATAAAATTTTGTTATTATTGGTGAAATAAAATTAGCATTTATATTAAATAAAAAAATAAAATAAATCATTTAAGATAGCTTTAATAATTCAAAAAATTCAAATAATTAAGACGAAATTTAATTATTAACAAAAAAAAAAAAGTGAGATGGAGTTTCAAAAGATGATTATTATCATCAACACAGAGTTTAACATAGGTTTTTTTTTTTTTTTTTTTTTTGTTTGGATAGCAAGAAAATGAAAAAAATATTTTGAGATGTATAAGCCAAGTATAATATAAGTAATAAAAGAGAGTCCAATATAATACGTTTCCAAAGCTTCACCATTACTAACGTAATTCTTTTAGACTTTCTTATATTCTAAAGTGTTAAATAAGTTACAAAAATGAGGTACAAAATATGGTTTACTAGCGATAAATTTTCTGTATCAATTGATTGTATGATAATGAGGTGAACTCGAATAAGAATAAAAAACTCAGTCAAACATCATACATTATATTAGTTAGGGATAATAATAAATTAAGTTCGTAACAAATTTTACTAAATCTGAATTTATTCAGAACATAGAGTATGCTAACCTAAATTACTACAAACTTTGAATGAAAAATATGATTTTTTTTTTTTGTGTTGTCCAAAGTTTTTTGATGAAACTTGTATTACCTTGCCCCGGTGAAACAAGTCATGTGGGAGAAAAATTGCAAGGTATGTTTTTTAATCTAACTATAGAATATCGACTTACATTATCATAAAAAAAAATAAAAGAAGATAAAGAGCTGAAATATAAAACACAAATTAAATAAAAAATAAGGAGAATGAAATAAGTCAGACGTTCTAAATAGCTCCTTTGCTTTTGTTGGCTGGTCGTAAAAGCCCTGGTCTATATTGCTCTGTACTAGCCACGACGCAAAGTTGCAAAGCCGAAAATGGAACAGTCTCTGATGAGGTGAAGGTAAATGATGAAGTAAAGAGGTGGCAGCTGTAAAAGAGAGTGAAGTGTGTGTTTTTGGTTTTAGGGTTTTTTAAGTCTCTTAGTATATTTGCAAAATTTTTTATATATTTTTTATTTTTAAAATTAAAACCCTAAATAATATAACCTTTTTACAAATATATTTATATAATGCATTTTCACTTTGTACCTTGAACTTTTATTTGGATTTGCTACACGAGGAGAGGGGTTAACTATTACCAAGAAATGTTCTTACCCACAATCAAAACTTTTTGAGAACCAGAAACTTCCATTTTCTCCATCTATAAAATCTAAACGCATCTCTTCTTTTCTCTTCACCATATCTCATTAGAAGAAAAAGAAAAAAAAGCATACAAGCATTTTCTTTTCTTGAATATCAAATAGATATGGCTTCAAAGGGTTTAGCAACAATAGCTCTTCTCCTCTCCCTCAATCTTATCTTCTTCACTTTGGTTAGCTCCAATTACGTCCCTTGCCCACCGCCACCCCACAAACACCACAAGAAAGCTTCGTGCCCTAAAGATACTCTTAAGTTTGGAGTATGCGCCAACGTGTTGGGTAATTTGCTTAATCTTGTTCTGGGTTCGCCTCCAAAGTCCCCTTGCTGCACCCTTCTTGACGGTCTCGTTGATCTTGAAGCTGCAGTTTGCCTTTGCACTGCCATTAAGGCCAATGTCTTGGGCATTAACCTAAACGTTCCCGTTTCACTCAGCTTGCTTCTCAACTACTGTGGCAAGACGGTCCCCTCCGGTTTCCAGTGCGCTTAGATCCACGCCATTATCATAAATATCTTTTACAGCACTATTTTCTTTATATATATATATATAAAAAAAAAAGAAAATTAATTTCTGGGTGTTACTGCAAGGTGAATAATGGTTTAGTTTCACGGTGAAATTTGAGATGTATGTATAATTGGTATTTGTCTCATTGTTGATGGCGCTTGTTAAACATTCATCAATAATCCTTTGTTTGCAAGAACGGAAGCTAACAAGGCTCCTTATCCATGTACATGTTCTATGTAGTTTGTAATAATTACCCTAATTAATTTTCTTTTGTTTAATCTGGTAATGAATTATGATAAAATGGTTTCCGCTTTTTAGTTGACTGATCTTTGTTAAATATTAATTTAAGTATGTGTCTCAATTTAGAACGAGTAAGAAATAGAAAAATGTGGCTGAGTACTACTCCCCTTAATTCTACTACAAGATTCTATACGTATGTGTGGAATGCGGAAAAAGACAGTCCATAAAAAAGCTGCAACTGGTTTTATTTACACAAAGGAGTAATATTTTTCTTTTGATTTTGTGTTTTGGGCAAATGTAATTAAATTATATATTGGCGTAGTATCTCACACAAATTATTTTTCCAACCTCAATGGGATTATTTCATTAACTAAAATCTGCAATAATTGATTTCCTCATGCAACTTGCAGAGTCACAGCTTTTTTCAATTAATTCGAAATCGGGATGTGATTTTATTGGTAATCGAGACAAAAGGTGCAAATAATCAATCCAGGCCTTTCTATCACCCCAACAGAGTGGCCCCATCATATATATATATATATATATATATATAAACAAATTTTTTAGGCTGGAAAATTTAGGTTTTAATGCCACAAAACCGAAAATTAAAATAACTTTTGCAGGTGACCACTTTCTTTTTTCTAATAACTCCATCTAATACATTGCAAACCATTTCTTCTTTGTTTTAATTGCTAACTCATTCTTTTAATGAATTTTTACAGAAAATAAGGTAAGAAATATAATATTTTTATTTAAGATTCAGAATTGAAAAAAATTTGAAATCAATTTATTGTAAGTATTTTCTTTTTCTCCAATTTCTACTTTTATATCTGCATAATTTAAATAAACAAATTAAATAATTTAAATTTTTTAAACCCAAAAGGCCCAAATTTCAATCCGGCCCAACCCATCAGCCCGAAATTTTTAGTTTAAAGGATTAAAATAAAACGTCATCGTTTCACTAATGGATGAAAGCAGAAAGAAGCTCTTGCCTTGCCTTTTCGGAGACAAGACAAAAGGCGTCTCGAGGAGAATCAAACGGATCAGAGAGCCGAGAATGAAAACTGCGAGCGATTTGAGATCGAGGTGGTCGAGAAACAGGAAGGAAGCAGCGAAAACAAAGACCGTTGGTTCGAGATGGCAATGTGAAGAAAGGCTCACTATGGGCCTATAAAATAGAGCCGAATCAGGGCATAGTGGATTCCAGGAAATTGGAGAGGAAAAGGGTTTAGGGTTATTCCACGTTCGTTTGAATTTCTGGGTACTGGAACCGAATTGAAAGAATGGGTCGATTCAAGAAGGATGAAGAGAAGGCCAGAAAGAGGGAGGGAGATCTAAAACAGAGAGATTTGGCGATTTCCTATCAAGTGCTTCATTAGTAATTCTATTGAATATGTTGATATTTTCTTCGTTGAAAGCTCTACCAATTGGATGTGTGCTTCAATAAACAAAAGTTCACATTGTTTATGCAGAGACCTTAGAATTCATAAACAATGTCCTAAAAAATATCGATCAAAATGAAAATTCAAATCATCTATTTTTATTTAATATAACGAAATTACACGAGGACGAAAGCAATACATAGTACTGTAACATAAAAGAATAATTATCGAGAAATGGTAAACATTATAAACCCATATAAAAAAATGATGAGAAGCAAAAATTAACAAAACACGTAGAGCTAAACGAGGTAAGGTAATGAATGGGAACTGATTACGGACTTATTCGCATTTGTAGTCTTTTGGGACCTTCTTTCCACAGTTGTTGAGCACCAAGCTCAAAGAAACGGGAATGTTAAGGTCAATACCCAAGACACTAGCCTTGATGGCAGTGCAAAGACAAACAGCGGCTTCGAGATCAATCAGACCCTCGATGAGGCTGCAGCATGGTTTGTAGGGTGGCTGACCAATTACCACCCCCTTCACCAAGTTCAAAACGTTGGCGCACACACCAAACTTAAGGGCATCCCTTGGGCAGCTGCCTTTGTTGTGGTGGTGGTGGTGGCCAGATGGAGGTGTTGGTGGGCAAGGTACATAAGTTGAGCTAACCAAGTTGAAGAAAACCAGATTAAGGCAGAGCAAAAGGGCGGTTGATGCTAGTGCTTTTGAACCCATTTTAATTATTTCTTGATCACCTCTTAATGTTAAGTATGGATTCAGTGCCTAGCAGGTTCTTGGTGATAAGAAAGAAGTGGGTTTAGGGTTCTATGTATAGAGGTAAATGGGGAAGTGTTTGGATATCAAAATTATTTGTATTATGTGTTATACCCCCATGTGGATGGCTACGTTGCATGTGGAATAATAGCTAACCAACCCAACCTGGCAATGAATTGCAAGATGCAACAGGAGCTGCTAAAATATTCATTTACCTCAGAAGTTTCTTTCACAAGTTGGGCTTCATCTTAACCTATTTCAAACTTTCACATTTGAAAAGCAAAGATATTGTCGCAATTGTGTTTTACAATCAACATTCTTTAAAGTCTTCTTTGGAGGCGAATCACCGTCATTATTAAGAGATTATGATGTGAATTTTATTGAATATGATAAGAGTAAAGAAAGTGGAAAAAGAATGTTAAAAAACTAAGTTGAGTAATTATTTATAGACCATGTAGGTTGACGCTCTTAATACTAATTTGCAGGACCAAATATTTCAAATCCAGTTATTGACTAATAAATTTAATTTTTAAGGATTATATTTAGTTTTCAATGTTTAAATTTGAACTTATTTGGTGTCAAAATGTTAATGATCAATGTGAAAAAAAGAATAAATCTGAACGTGAAGTGCAGGCCCTACATTATTGATTAATTAGAAAGAAAAAGAAATAGGTAATAAAATAGTATTATTATTATTATTATTATTATTATGATGATGATGGAGAAAATAAGCATTAGAAGAACAAAGTTTAATCATACATCACACATGACGTGGTGGCAATATACTTGCCCGTGAACTTTGACCCGTGTGCCACATGTCGTCTGTCACTTATTCATTTATTAATATATATATATATATATTATTCATTTCTCTATAACAATCACCGAAATTCAGGATCGCTCTCGATGAATATATATATATCATTCATAGATTTATTATTTTCTCAAAGTTGTCCTGAACAAATATACCATTTTACAAGTTAAAAATAGCATATGGTGATATGTAATTTTTCTTTTTCTTTAACATGGAGGTGATTGGCAAGTGAAAGTCAGAAATTGTGTCTTGTAATTTTTTTCTTTAAGTGAAATGGTATGCAGAACCTACAACTAGGTTTGTTAATCTAAAAAAAATTCAAAGCTTTGACCAAAATAGAGAAAGTTTGAAGAACTACCATGATCAGACTTCAGAAATGTACAGTTTTGGTTAACATCATTCTTCTATTTCTAGTGATTCTTTTTTTTTTTTTTTTTTTTTTGCATTTTAGAGAAGTCTATCTTGTGACATTTTGTGGGCAAATATTATTTATATTATGATTTTTAAAACTGATATTAAAATAATCATTTACTAAAACCATTTTTAATAAAAAATTCTTCGGTTTAGTTAAAAATAATTATAGAATATTATTACTTTAAAAAGTAGAAACTATATGTATGATACAAATAATTTTTTTTTTAAATTTTAAGTGTAAATTTGTAATAATATTTAAAATGATTTACTAAAAGTTAGAAATTATAGTTTTTATATTTAAACATATTAAAAACAAATTTTATCTTGCCAATTTGATTTATTACTAAAAGCATATTTTATTTATTTACCAATTTAATTGCAAAAATACCTACAACTATAAAAGATAATAATGCTAAGAACTAACCCAGACAAAAATCTTTATGTCATCGTAAAAGAGAAATCATATTTCAAAGTGAACTTGTGAAAGAAACTTCCTAAGCAAATGAGTATTTTAGCAGCTTGTGGTGCATCTTGCAATTCATTGCCAGGTTGGATTGGTTAGTTTATATTCCATATGCAAGGTAGCCATCAACATGGTGGGTATTATATATAATATACAGTACTTTTAAGATCCAAACAGTTCCCAATCTAGCTCTATATATAGAACCCTAAGCCAACTTGTTCTTTCTCATCACCAAGAATTTGCTAGGCATTGAATCCATCCTTAACAAGAAACCAACATCAAGAAATAATTAAATGGCTTCAAAAGCACTGGCAACAACTGCCCTTTTGCTCTGCCTCAACCTGGTTTTCTTCAACTTGGTTAGCTCAACTTATGTACCTTGCCCACCCCCACCTCCATCTGGTCACCACCACCACCACAAAAAAGGCAGTTGCCCAAAGGATGCCCTTAAGCTTGGTGTGTGCGCCAACATCTTGAACTTGGTGAAGGGCGTGGTAATTGGTCAGCCACCCTATAAACCATGCTGCAGCCTCATCGAGGGTCTGCTTGATCTTGAAGCTGCAGTTTGTCTTTGCACCGCCATCAAGGCTAATGTCTTGGGCATTAACCTTAACATTCCCGTTTCTTTGAGCTTGGTGCTCAACAACTGTGGAAAGAAGGTCCCAGAAGACTACAAGTGCGAATGAGCCTATAGTTCATTATCACAAATGGCACGTGGTTTACTCCTTTTCATTTTATTTGTTTATGTTTGGTTATAATCTGGTTAATTTATGTTCATTGTTTGGATCGTTTATCCTAAACTTTCTAAGGTATGATCTATTAGTTATTCATCATTTTTTCCTTTTATGTCAAACACTAGTATTGTTTGGAAGAGAAGGTAACTCGCTTTCCACTTGGCCGTCTGATCTCTCGTAAATAAAATTAGTTATTATTCCGCATGAAAAATTAAATTTCTCTGTGTTGCTTTCTGTGGGAATCATGCAGAATGTATCATTTAATATCAATATTTTACATTTGCCCTTTTGATGCTTCTCTTTAGAAGGGGACAACTATATTATACATTTTGCATTACTATCATATAGTATTCTACGTGTCTGTGTATATGTAAATCAAGAAATTTTATACACACACATATATATATATATACATTCACGGCTAGATCTTATCTCCATTACTGATCTAACAAGTAATCCTATTGAATTACTCTTCTCCAGCTAAAAGAGTAGGAGGAAGCCAAAGATACCAGACAAAGAAAAAAGGAAAATACCGAGGAAATAATGATTATACATGATTTTCCTTTTTTCGTTTTGAAAAAAAAGATACATAATTTATTAAATTTCAGACAATATATTCAGGTACTAAAGATCTAACCATTCAAGTAATATATATTATACGTTCAATTTAATAACATTTTTTGAAAGTCACTCTCTTTAATATTGCACGATAAAACTTAATTATAAGTTCTTAGAAAATGACAACCTAGATAGGATGCAGATGTATTTGAACTGAGACATTACAGGATAAATTATTAAAACTATATTAAGTGTTTTGTAGTATCTAAAAATTAAACATATTTTTAACGACAAAATTAAATTGAAGAATATTCCATATGTCATGCAATATATGTACAGGCAGGCATATAAACATCCAGACCGGATTCTTTCAAGAAGCCAACTGAAATATTCTTCTAAACATTAATCAAAACGTGGAGATTACACTAATAATAACTCACTCGGAAGGTAAAAGTTTTTTCACCGTAACTGTCAATACCGAAGTCCAAAGCATAAAAGCTAGTAATAATGTATATATACAGATTTTTGTCAGTAGTATCGGATGATAGATATCGTCTCCTAATAGTTCTGGAATGATACTTACAAGTAGAAAATATATAATTATTTCGAAAAAAAAAAAAAGTTAAACACGCAGGGAGCTCACATGTTCACTTGGGAAACTGGACTCTGTCTCTACTAAATATTATGAAAGCTATGAAAGACTAGACACCAAACCCTGAAGTCTACTTGATAGATGGTTTAAATTCTCTGCTACCAGCCAAGAGAAATAATAGCTGAAGAACAACTTACTATAAACTTCTACTATTATTTGTTGACCAAGTTCATGTAGGCCGAATCATTTGGAGTAAATATAGGCCATACAGCCCAATGTAAAATTAGGAATCAGCCCAGAAAAAGCTATGCGACGCTAGTCACGCAACAAGCTGGAACAAGAAAGGAAGAAAAGCAAACAAACAAAGCTACATACTTATCTGGAAATCTGTGAAAAATTAAACGATGAGTTTGTTAAAACATCACAAGTTCACGGATTCGAAATAGTCATGAATAGGACATTGGTGTTTTCAAATAATCAACAACAATCCAAACTCTGCACTCTAATTTCGCAATACCATTCTCTTCGGATTCTGTGTATTTTCATTTCCTTGTGCGACATGGAGTTAACGCACAGTCACGGGTTACACGTAAAAGCTTGAGTTATATAAATGTGAGGCCTTTCATGATCAATTCATTCGAAACCCAGGAAGAATACATAACTAGCTTAGAATTAAGCTGGTGATCTTGAAGGAGCCCTAAATGATCATGGCTTCTAAAATTACTGCTGTGTTCTTCATTTTCATGATTCTCATGTTGGTATCATTACCACCTATATACGCTTGCGATTCTTGTCCATATCCACCGTATCACCGCCCTACCCACCCGAAAGTTCCTCATCCCAAACCCCCACACACGAAACCACCGCACCATGGAGGCCACGGGAAAGGGCCACCAATAATCATGCCACCTATTATTATTAATCCACCACCGGTTATATCACCTCCTGTTGTATATCCTCCTTACTCTCCATACCCACCTTACCCAGGTGCCCCACCTGGCGGCGGCGGAGGAGGTGGTCGCCCCAGTCCTGGTGGCGGACCTCATTCAGGTGGAGGAGGTGGAGGAGGTGGTGATCCACCATCCGGAGGTGGTGGAGGTGGAGGTGGAGGTGGAGGTGGAGGTGGCATGAGGCCACCACCTCCTCCTCAGCAACCAACTTGTCCGATCGATGCTCTGAAGCTAGGGCTTTGTGTTGATCTTCTTGGAGGAGCAATACATATAGGGATAGGTGACCCGGTGAAGAATGTTTGTTGTCCATTGATAAGTGGGTTGCTGGAACTAGAAGCAGCTATATGTCTATGTACTACTATAAGGATTAAGCTTCTCAACCTTCAAATATTGCTTCCTATTGCTCTGCAACTCCTGATAACCTGTGGAAAGAATCCTCCTCCTGGCTTTGTGTGCCCTCCTCTTTGATCATCACTTGCGGCAGATTAAGTGCTCATAAATAATTAATTTAATTAATTAAGGTGAGTTGTTGTGCGTTTAATTGTTGTTTCCCTCTGATTAGTAAGTTGGATGATATTATTATGGTTAGAGCTTGCTTCTTTGTTGTGTGTAATGTCATTTGAAATTCTGGCGATCATGGTTGCAACGTCTTCTTGTTAATTTATATATGTACCACCTTATCTATAACTCTCTCTCTCTCTCACCACGTGTATGTTATGCTTACGTGCAACGTGTATATACATGCATGCATTCATCATGCGAACACTAGCTGCGTGGTTTTGCAAAATCAACATATGTATACACGCACACGCGAACACGCAAACACATGCCTGCATGCGTTGTGAACATGCATAGATGATACGTAAATACATGTTTACATGCACGCATGTTATAGTTAGCTACGTGTAACAAATGAGTTGTTAGAATACACAAATATGATTCTTAATTTTATTTTTATTCGAAAAACAGTTAAAAAATAAAATTTAAAATGTATGATTTTATGTGTGGGTTTTGTCAATTTATCTATACTTTTAAGGCATTTAATTATTATTTTATATTATTTAGTTGCATGGGTTTACAATATATCCCTTAATTTAAGTTTGTTTTAATATATTTTGAGATAAAATTTAGAGTAAATTAATCGTACTTGTGAAATTTAATCAGTTTTACATGTTTCATACGTATAAATATATTCCTTTACACCCTCAAAAGTGTAATAATCATTAACACTAATTAAACCAAAGACATCAAACGAAGTTGTCATCTGTTTTTGTGGAATTTTTGAAAAATATTTTATTACACTGAATTATAAAATAAAAAAAATACATATATATATATATATATATATTAGACATATAGTTTTGCTTCGAAATCCTGGTTTCGAATCTCTTTTTATTTTTATTTTTATTTTTCAAATATTTTAATATTTTCTTTTTGTTTTTAAGAAAAAAGTATGTCAATATTTTTAATTCACGTTTTGATTCGCGAACATTTTTTTTTTCTCAAATGAAGGAAATCTTAAATATAAATAGGAGAAAATATGTTTTAACAGTTCTTCTTAATATAAATTTAAGCTTTGGAGATCAAATTTAACATGTGGTAATTTAGCTTCCACTATTTCCCTTACTATTATAATGATTAACCTGGTATAAAATAAAAATATAATTTGAAGATTTAAATAATTAATTGGCATATATATATACACACACACACACACACATATATAGCTAGATCTAGGACAGGTTGGAGGATGAATTTTTAGTTATATATATATTTTCAAAAGGTAAGTTAACATACAAATAATTATAGTTTTGATTCATGTATATTTTGATAAGCCATTCTTTATTAGGTATGATTAAAGTTGAAGTTGAATATGCCAAAAGATGGTTCACGGGATTTTATAAACAGCGGACCATCGGCCACCAAAAATATATAATCATAAATAAATAATTTATTTAATTACTTTATTTTTCTTTCATTTTCAATAATTGATTATGCTGTTAGGGTTGTGGCTTTCAGTGTCAGAAAATAAGCAGGGAATGACGCCAAAATAAAGACACCTTACTTTAACTTGAAGTTTTGGCCACATAATAATATTAATATTAGCCTAGGTTCTGGTTATTGCTGGACAAGTCGAATTTCTGAGAAAAATAAGATAAGGAACGAGTGTGTACATATTGAAAACGCAAGATCTGCACATGCACGAGATGACAATTGTGATCCTACATATATATATATATATATATATTTATAAGAGAGAAGTATGAAGACAAAATTGCTTTTACTCCGTAACAGGAAATTAAAATTACAATAATTAATGTGTGAAATCAGCCGGAAGGTTGAAATGCGATCCAATTGATTTTTTTTTTTTTTGAAAAATTGGATGTAAGAAATTAAGAAATTAAATGGGAAGTAAAAAATTCTAACGCGTAGATTAAGATAAACATGATTAATTAATTGGTTAATATTACTTTTAAGAGAAAATAAAATGAAAGTAATTGATATATATATATATATATATGAGTCACCAAATTCTCCTAGTCACGGGCCAAAGTACAGAATTCTGCGGGCGGGTGCATATAGTTTTTGTGTGATGATGAAGAAAGTAAATATCTCTAAAGATTGACCCCCATGACATGACATATACATACATATGTATATTCACTCCAACAAATAAACGACATGGCCACCCTACGAATTGATAGAGACAAGCCTTTTAATTCTAACCATGTAATCCTCTTTCTGTACCTTCATAACTATCATACTGTAAATTATTATACTTTGTAATTCCTGTTGTTCTTTAAAAAGTTAATTTTTCTATATCTGATAATAACGTTAGAATATAAATGATATCTTCTTGTTATCTTAATTGTAATTATTCCGTCACCTTCAAATTTCATAAGTCAAATTCTTCTTTCACATGCACAGGAGTGTTTGACAATGAAGAATTGGGTCATATTAAATGTATTATATATCGTAGATTTCAAGTATAAAGTACAAAAAACATGCTCACATTGGAAAACTTCTTATCATATGAAATTGCAATTTATTTTAGATATTAATAAGTAAAATCAGAATTTAATTACTCTCTATTTTTCTTTCTATTCTTTTTGTTATTTTTTTCCCCCCTCTTTATCTCTTTCTTCTCTCTGAATCTATCCAAATCTCCCAATTTTTAACCATTTTCTTTCTTTTTTCTTAGAAAAGATTCTGTCCTCCCCTTCTCCTTCTTTCGTTTTCCTCTTTCTGCTTCCTTTCTGTTTTCACTTTCTTCTGCCTAGATCCATGGACGGCCTCTTCACACACGTCTCCTCCCCCTCATTCTCTTTTCTTCTCCTCTTTCTCTTATCTGTTTATTGATTAGAAAATGGAAGCAGACAGAAGAAAATGGTGCTTAGAGATGCTGAAATTTGGCAACCCGTAAAATGAAGGAAAGTTTTAACTTCAGCGAGACAACTGGAAAGGGCTTTAAAATATTACATGGGTGTTTGGTTGTTTCCAAAATGAAGAAAAGAAACATAGAGAATTTGTTCGTAAGCCAGGAAAGCTAATTGATTTTTTCTCTTGGACACATAAAAAATTTAGTTAGTGTATTTAATCCATCTAACTATTTTAATTAAAAGAACTTAATAAAAATATATATATATATATATATATATATATATATATTTTACCATAATAATAAGAACTTGTAAAGAAAGAAATCAACTTAATCATTTATAAGTCTGTTGACACTAATAAATTAAGTTCTTATTATAACTAAATTAAATATTATAAATTTTAGTATTATTGAATCAAGTACGAGAGATAAATAACTATCAACTCAAAATATATTTATTCTTATCAAATTATAAAATTTACATACTCAATAAATTTTAAATTTATAATTTTTAAATAAAGTAGGTAAATTTTAATCATTAGTCTGCCAAATTAGTTAGAACAATAAATAAAAATTATAATGATATTTAGTTTTCTGAAAAAAAAAAAGAAAAAAATGACTATGAAATTTAGTTTAAATGGGAGAACATTTCATTTGTACGTCAATATAAAAATATTAAATATTACCTCTCACAATCAAATTGTAACAATCCAAACTCTAATGTTGTTGGGTGCGGACATTAGTACAACATTTTTAATTAGTGGATTCAAAAAAAAGATTAAATATGCATCAGAATTATATTTTAATATACATATCTTGTGACTAGATAATTATTTGTTTACAAATAATTAATGTATCTAAATTAAATTATAATATTAAAATAAAAACTAATAAAATTTTCATCATCATCTTCCACTACTTTTGGATTTGTTTCTCATTTCCTTTGACTTGGATGGGGGCTAAATTAGGGTGTCTTTGATGTCTAATTATTTTTATATTTTTCTTAGTCTAAAGAAGCTAATTTTTTTAAAAAATTTATCGTGGTAATGATTACGTTATCAGAACACATCTTTAGGGACTTTGTTTTATCTCTTTGGAATTTAATTTCATAATGAAGGTCATTTACGAATGGTTCCAATCAAGTAATGATGTTACAATATTCATATTGAGTGAAAACATCTTTAGTGAAATTGTACTCACATCCTTTCAATTGCATTCAGTTGGACTAGTTTCTACAGTGTGTTTTGCTATTTGCGAGTTTAAAGGGATGGTGTTTTATTAAGATTTTCTTAAAAATAGTTACTATAGTTAAAGAAGTATTATTTCAGTTAAGGCCATATTAGTCATTAAATTTCAAGTGTCTAATTTAATTTATTGATTTTCTAACTTATAACAATTAAAGGATGATTGTTTAAAATGAGCTTAGAGTATTAAGAAATCAATGATTATTTATTGGAGGTGATTTTGAATTCTTTTAACATCAGATTCAATCATTACTTTTGCGGCAAACAATTACGTTTAGTTCTAATTCTTGCAAGTACACTCCAAGTTCCCAAAAATTTTGTGACTATTCTTAAATATAATCTTAAGATACAAGTCATCGTTTTATCACACTATTAGTTTACTCTTTTTGGTTTGAAGAGGATTCACAGATTCCTCAAACCAAAATGGATTTATTCACACACACATATCACTCCACTCAGATTTATAATTTCACATTATTTAGTCTTTTAAAGCTTAATTAGGTTACAATCGTGCGATACCCCTTATATCATTATCGAAGAGAGGCAAAATGGATCCCCCCATCACATGGATATCACACGCAAAAAATCTCACATTTTCCACAACAATTATGTTTGCTAGGTGACCCAAACTCACAAATACCTATCCATGTATGGATTAGGTTTCAAACTCTATCCATGTGCTGGTTCAACATACCTGTTGAACTTCAGCCGCACACGCACCTTCTCCTTCTTGATTTACAATTAACGAATTAAGTGTTTTATTTACTCTTCACAGTTTTCATATGATTGCCTTCTTTGTGGCTTATTTAATATATTCCCCTAACTAACTTACACTTCTCAATTTCTTTGGTGTTTGTTTTTCAGATATATTTAACTTGTTTAGTTTATTATTTAAAAATCTAAAATCTATATTAATTTAAGGTCTCACTTCTACACATAATTAAATACAAATAAACACACAATATACGATATCATCACACCCATTAGAACTATACATTTCAAAACACTTTC